CGTTACTTGAAAAAAGTAATCGGATTACAGTAACGCGTTACTGCCCATCTCTGGTCATGACAGCGTCACATCAGGAACCTTCGTCATGGTTTGCACGTCCTCGCTCACCTTCTTGACGAGGATGGTGAGCCCCTGGTATTTGAAGGGTTTGGAGAACTCGATGTACTGAGCGCGCTCGTTGTTGATGGTGAGCGGGGCGACGATCATGTCGGCGAGGCCTCCCAGCAGCTCCCCCATCATCCCGTTCCACTCCTTCTTGTTGCTGTTGTTCACCTGCGGGAGGGAGGGAGGGCGGAGCTCTGTTAATGAAGGTTTGACTTCCTTTTACATGGTAACATTCGTGACCTCACTGCAGCAGGTTAAAGCGTTAAATATCTGCAAACCCACATCAGCTGCAACAAACACTGTGAGGTGTGCTCAGCAGCTCCAGCCCGATCACATTATTGATTACTGATGAGCCAATCCGCCGGGAGGAGCACAGCGAATCCCTGATTGGCAGGTTTGAAGTTTCTGGCTTTAAATAATAAAGGAGGATCAGATTTGTCTGAAGCGGCTGCATTTTTAAAGGCTGAGCTCAGATTTGAATAAAACATGAAGGAGAACAAGATGCTTTCATGTGATCGACTAAACAGGAAACATCATCCTTCAGGAGCTGGGTATACGTGGAGCATAAAGCAGATTTCAGGCGTGAATAATCTGTGAAGAGAGAGGAGGAGGGGGGAAGAGGAGGAGGGGGGAGGAGGAGGGGGGGATCCAGAGCACAGAGGAGGCGATGAAGGAGAGCAACAGCAGAGAGAGAGATGAATAAATGTCTCTCGGCTCCGGCAAGGTCGGAGTCAGGGACGGAGCGGTGGTCGCCATGGCAACAAGCCTGGGCGACGAGCTGGGGATGAATCGGTAAGCAGGTCAGAGAGAGCGAGATGGCGATGACATCATCAGGCCACAGATAACCACACGTAAAGCAGAGACTGTCCGTTTACTTTTGAGAATGAACTGTAATCACATTACTCCAGCTCACTGACGACACAGCCAATCAGAGCCAAGAACAACATCCACACACACAAATTCTCCTCAACGCGCCGCCACTACTCCACAGACTGTATATGAAAGATGGCCAGAGCCTCCGCTGTCGCCATGTTGTTTTTTAGTTTCCAGAAGTGACCATATTTGGATGAGAGGGTGGAGCTTATGCTGTCAGCTGACCATCACCTACACCTGCTGGGACAGCTCGCCTCACAGCAGCCATGTTATTGTTGCTACGTGAACAGAACAGCTGTTTTGGTGCGTGACGTCGCTCCTGCGAACATCATCCTGCAGCTGGATGGAAATGTGTTTTAATGTGTTTCAGTATCTAATGTAACCCCCGACCTGCAAACGTGCTGGCACAGATCACACGTCCTTCATCGCCTTCATCATCGTCAGTCGGCTCACCTGAGCTCCACGCCTCAGATCCACCCGAGAGACGAGCACAGTCAGCTGCAAAGAGCCTGACCGTCATCCCTCACAGGGTTACAGGATCAGGATACTCTGATTACAGCAGAGAGCTGATGTGACAAACAAATACTCAAACAGGTGTGCAGGTACACTCACAGACTGTAAGTAAAAGATGGACGTAGCCTTTTTGTTTAAAATGTTATTCTTAATGTTTTTTTGTATCCTGGAGGTGGCCAGCAGGGGGCGCCTCTTCTGGTTATAACTACAAGTCTGTGAGGCCAGGAGCTTCCTGCTTGGCTGATCTGAGCTCAGTGAGCCGAAGTCACTGCTCTCAGGTCTGAATGTGAAGTTCAATTTGGAGATGATGTCATTAGAGTGAGGAGGGGCGGGGCTACACACTGAGCCTATGAATGTGCAGTGTGCTCAGTCTGTCAGACCGTCATCGTCACATCGAGCTCCAAAAAGACGGAAACACCAAACAATTAAGCTGTCCATCTTTGATATACAGTCTTTCATTTACAGCAGAAGGACAACACGTCCAAACGCTCGTCATCTCCAAAACCAGTGACAGCGAGCAGAGTCACGTGACACTTACTCGCTCCTGCGTGCCAAACTTCCCATCAGCCACCAGGTGAACCTCGTAGGTGAAGTTCATACTCATGGCCAGCTTGATGAGCAGGTCGATGCAGAAACCATAGCAACACTGAGGGACGATGGGCTGACCTGGACACATAAACACAGCCTCATTTCAGTCATTCGACTTTATATCTACACAAACACACACACAGAAAACAGGACAGATCGTGTCTGGGAGGATGGCGTGTTAGCTACCTGGTATGGTCCCGTTGGGTCCAGTACAGATCACCTTCTTGATCAGGACTCCGTTGACGGTGTACTCCTCTTTACACGTCCCGTCGCTTTTCGTTGGCTTCACGTAAACAAATGGCTCCTGATGAATCGTCACGATCTGAGCGCACAAACAGCGAACACTCAGAGACGTGGACTGATCCATGGGAGACGCTGACGCTCGTCATCGTGGCATAAATGTTATTACAGCCCACCCAAGCCGTAGTTCAAACCTCAGCTGTGACAGCTTAAAGGTCCACAAAGCTCATTCAGTTTTACACATTTGAATGTTTGACAGGTCTTAGTCATGTTACAAACATGTCCTCACTGTTTCACACATCTGTAAAAGCTTTAACTGTGCCCTGCAACTTCCTCTGATACTATTCTGTGTTTAACTCTAGTGTTTCCTGTAAACTTACCATAGTTTCTTTTGAAGTTTTTGGTTAAACCCAGATTTTATTTGTAATAAGTTTCTATAAGAGGAGTGATTTATTTTAAATTTCTATCAATAATATTTGTTTTCTAAATATGTTATTTAGAAAACAAATATATTTTCTGATGGAACAGGAATACCCTCACTTTCTAAGAGCCTACAAGACATAAATGTTTGACGACGTAGCTGTGATCATGTTCCTTAACAGTGGTGCAGTCTGAAATCTGAAGTTTTATTGGCATAGGAAGTGATATGTTAACTGAGGCACACCTCAATGTGTGCCCAGGTCTTTAGATAACCTTTACAAACTCCAAACTTAAATACAGAGCCTTGGCCTACGCCACATTTTGCATAAGTAGAAAATGTAAACATTCACAGGACAGAAAATGAAATGTAACAGATTAAAAAAGCATTTTTCATGCTGTGGTTTGGCTTCACATCTGACCTGATTCATGAAGAACACAACAACAAACCACAACTCATCATTATCTGCAGAGCTCATGTCTTCAAAAACGTCCAACATAAAACGTTGCAAAAAGGAGCGGCATCACATTTCTGAGACGATGAACCGAACAGACGCGTCGAGCTGCGGTTTTACCTTCAGTCTGGTCGACATCTGGTATCCGACTGGCTTCTCTGTCTCTCCTCCAGGCCAAATGATTTTCCTCTGAGGGTTCATCACAACCTGAAGGGCACACAGAAACACACAGTGAGCACTCAGGTTGTGATGTTGTTGCACGCGGGTCTCACTGTGACAGGCTGACTAAATGACAGCATCAATACTGCATCTATGCATTCATATTTAAAGAGGCAGGAGGCCTGGATGCTCGCTCGCTACGCCATGTTTCTCTCAGCAGCTCGGCTCTGACTGGCGTCGTACCTGTCACCGAACTACACACTCATCTCATTTAATCAATAGTGAACTAAGCAGCGACTGTAGCACTCACTGATTCATGCGAGATTTGAACGTTTTAGTTTACTGTCACAGGCTTATTCCTCCTCCTTGGATCTTTATTTGGAACTAAACACAGTTTTTTTGTGATATTTTGAGTATTTTTGCCTTTACACAACTTCTGTTGGCCAATACTGATGTCTGTTTGTTTTTTTAAGTCTATGAATGCAAGAACTCTGACAGCAGACAGACGTCTGTGAGGGTGGT